TAAGTAAAGCTCAAACATCTACATCTATCAATTTACATAAGACATTTTCCCAAAGAAATAATAAATAATTCATTAGATGAGGATATTTTAAGATGATGATCTCATGCTTGAAAAAGCACCAGTTCATTTTATATAAAAGTCATGTGTTTAATCACAGAAAGATTAAATAAAAATAAATCTGTATAACCACAATCACAGTCAGAGCAGCTGTCTCTCTCAACTTAACTCTCATTCATGTTACAATGTTTGAACGAATTGGAAATAATCATAAACCCTGAAGTCTTTATTTCAGCCTGAAGCCTGAAAATAAACTTATCTAAGTTTTCTGAAGTGATATAACAAATTTCTGGTGTGAAGTAATTAAGTTATTTGACAACCAGTGGCAAATATTTTGAGAGCATTGTGACTTTTTGCAGAAATGTTGCATCTGGATAAATCTGTGAAAGATGAATTAAAAGTAAACTATGTCAGAATAACTAAAAGCATAACTTAAACAGACAGATGAGGCAAATTTCATGAGTGAAAAAAGCTTAAATCAATTCATGTAGCTGAATCGATATGTTCCTCTATTTCACTTTCCATCTGTCTTTGTGTGAAAATGCTGAAAAGTCCCTTGAGGAATAAAAACACAAATGCATGCGTGAAACCACATGTCTGACCTAGTTTCACCCTGTACAACATGGTGAGGGTGTCATGAGAGGTCAGGGCCGTGACGTGCAGGTTGTGAACGGTGGGCTCATGGGCTGCGAGCGCCGTCAGCTCGTGGAAGTGCGTGGCAAACAGGCAGAAGCCGCTGATTTTGGAGGCAATGTGTTCGCTGATGGCCCAGGCCAGACCGAAGCCGTCGTACGTGGACGTGCCTCTGCCGAGCTCGTCGATTATGATCAGCGAGTTCTCAGTGGCCGAGCTGGAGGGAACAGAGCCGACGTGTGAGACCAGGCTAGTGTCACTTGTGATGAAGCTTTAAATGAGCGTGTTCGTACCGGAGAATGGCGGCGATTTCCAACATCTCGGACATGAAGGTGGACACGCCTTTCACCTGGCAGTCCCCCGCTCCCACCCTGGCCAGGACGCTGTCAACCACGCTCAGCTCTGCCTTCTCACATGGCACAAAGCAGCCAATCTGAGCCATCAGAGCGATCACACCCACCTGCCGGATAAATGTCGATTTGCCTCCCATGTTTGGTCCTGCAGACAAGAAGAGAGGAATATCAAGCGAAGAGGAGGAAGAGAGCGTATCCCAGGTCCAGAGTGTCTACGTCCATTTTTATATAAAGTCTGAGATCATACTGAGAAGATGCATTGAAATTATCCTAAAATCTCCACGCCTCTTTTTTACCTGTTATAATGTAGAAGTTCTTCTGTCCGTGGACGAAGGTGATATCGTTGGGTATGAAGGCCGTGTCCGGGTCTGTCTCCATGCAGGGGTGTCTGGCCTGTAGCAGCTCCATGCGCCTGCAGCCGTCAACCAAGATGCGAGGCCGCACGTACTGCACAGGAGCGGAGACGGACGCCACGGCGAAACTCGCCACTGCGTCCAGCTGCGCTATCACGTCGCTCAGCGTCTGGAGGGGATCCACGTAGCCTGGTGATTGAAAGCATTCGAGGAATCATGAGAGAGAGGAAAACTTCAGCATGGCAAGCGATATATGATTAAAGAATAACATCTGACCACAGGCTCGTCATTAGCGCTGTAGTTTCCTGGCATTTGTGGAGGATGTGAATGAAATCAATTACTGAAAGATTCACATAGACTAATTCTGTGTAACTGATTAATTCCATGAAGCTGAAAGTCATTCTTTTCCATTTTCCAAATCGATGTCACGCTAACAAGACAGAGTTAGAAACAAGTGATGACCTCCTTTACCTGAGGCAATGCTGATGATCTCTTTGACAATGGCGTTCTGCGCCTCCTCGTACTCCTCCCTGCTCTTGGTGTACTCCTCATTCAGAGAGCTCAGCTTGCTGTGGACATGTGAAAGTGTGCATGCGAGAGCACAGAGCATCAGCTGACAGCAAGAGCAGCTTAATCCGTGGCTAAAGTGTGTGACACAGTGAAACAGACCTGTTGGTGAAACGCACTCCGTTCTTCTGGACGTCCAGCGTGGTGAATTTCTTGTTGTTCCTCAGAGTCTTCTCCACCTTGCAGGTGACTCTCAGGTAAAAGCCCAGCACGGCGTTCGACTCCAGCTTCACCGTCTTACCGGCGTCTAGACCTGAAACACAAAGTTACTGTTATAAGTCGAACCACATCCACATATCGAAACACTTGATTTGCACACAAATATTTGCCAAATAGCCGTCAGTTTTACGCTCTGGCAGGGATACATATTCCCTTCACCTCTGAGTCTACTCTGGAAAAGAAACCTCAATTGACTTCCTATGATTGTCAGCAAGTTCCAACCCTCACCTACGGCGGAGTGATATTTCTGATGTAAAAATGTCACATGGTTGTAAAACCAACAAGAATAGCGCTCAGAGCACAAACATCCACCAAGGCCCAACTCCCCTCATGAAACTAGATCTGGATTTTTAATTGGATCTGCACACATAAATATCAGCCCCCTATAAATAACTGATTTAATCAAGATCCATGAATTATCCTCTGAGAAAATGTTGAAAACGCCCTTGTAACGTTAAAGAAAGTGAACCCATATTTGAATGGGTTCTACCTTGGGTCATGTCCCAACTCTTCACAAAATTTAATGGGAATCAGTTAAGTAGTTTTTTAGTAATCCAGCAAACAAAGAAACATGGAGGTCACCATCTTCATTTTCATGTAAATCAAATACTACACATTAGTTAACAGAGAGGAAATTGTTATGACAATTTAAATTGGATATATACTCTGTTAAATGTTTTCCATTTATCATAATCCAAAAAAAAAAGGAAAAATGAGCACTCGAACGTGATAAGAACTACCTAAGATGACAGAAACTACCTTTGTTTACTTATTAATTTGACGTGTACTTTAACGTTGATCCTTTCAACTTACATGGAGGAGGCAGGGTTTATGACCTATGATACAAACCTTCGACTCCCTGAGGAATGCATAGAGATCATTAATGTTTTAGTTTTGATTTTGAAGAAACAATTTTTTACGCAACATGCCAGGCGTTCATTCATTCAGAGGGAAGTGAAGAGTTCGTCACAAAGAGAAAGATAATTTAATCACATGATGAGTCCAGGGTGAAAAGGACTCGCTCTGACATTTGTAATCACACAAAACCTTTTAAAAAAAACTCATCAGCAGATGTGCGCGTGAAGTCACTCCCAAAAAATACAGTATCAAACTTTGTTGCAAGGAACAAATACATTTCTGTTTGATTCATGGATAAACTTGGTCTCCGTGTGCGTGTGTGTGTGTGTGTGCATGTGTGTGTGTGTGTGTGTGTGTGTAATCACCTAGTTCTCTGGCTGCGCTGTTCAGCACTGCCTGCATGCTCTTATCTAGCGTGTCCATCTTTTCTCTCAGCTCACTCAACACCGGATCAAACGACGCCTTCACCAGAAATTCATGGTGGTCGATCTGCACGGTGCACGCAACATTTGAGAAAGGAGCCGTGTAAACAATATGCAGAATCGATGACACGCAAACACAAAGCACAGAACATCAGCCTTCCTTATCTCCTCGTGTTAGAAAGCGTGAAAGATCAGACCTGGTTCATGTCCAGGGTGGTTTCGATCATCTCCTGATATTTGATGAAGTCAGAGTGCAGGTCTCTGAGAGGGGAGAGGAACACGGCCTCCAACAGAACCTGGTAGCTGCCTGCAACACACCCACATCAGAAATGATTGATTATATATTGTATTAAGTCGGAACGTTGGACTGCGTGTAATCAGGTATGATAGCATCTATAGCTAATGAATCATCATTATTATTTTCACTGATCACAACAAATCTGAGTCATGCTATGTTCTTCAAATGTCCCAGTATGATCACAGGGATTCTGCCAGATAATAATAACACTTTTTGAAACCATAATCTACTTTCCCATAATTGAAGATGAAGTAGACAAGAAGAGAAAAACCCTTGAAACACCAAGTTATCTCAAACTACAGGCAGAGAAAGTTGGTCTCTGCATGCCCCCAGAAACTCAAGCACAACAGAATCAGCATTAAATGCAGATTAACATACTTAAAACCTCCCTAAATGTGTTTAAGACCTAGGAGGTACAACATATTTAAGACTTAAGAGGCTGTGATAAGGAAAATCATTCGAATGAAGCAATGTTGTGCAAAATGTCATTCTAGAAGTCGTCGTGTCATTCGATGATTTGCTGACTGACTCAGTTGCTGCAGGTTTGCGTGATGTACCTGAGTATCTCTCGATGGCCGCGGTGAGGGCGGGGATCTGGGTCACAGCCTGGTAGACGCGGTAACAGTCCTGCAGCGTTGCAGTGTGACGATGGAACTTCTTGGCCAGACGGTGGAGATCAGGAAACCGCCGCAGCAAGTCCTCCTGGCAGGTGTGCCTGAGCTCAGAGTCACACACGAAACTCTCCACCAAGTCCAACCTCATGTACACACACACACACACAGAGCGAGATAGAGGGAGACACGTCAAGAGACATTTGAAAACTTTATTTCCTGACGGTTTTCCGAACAAACAAATTAACAATTAATCGAGGAAATGATCAGATTAATCAATAACAACAAGCAATAGTGACAGAAACACGAGTCATAACATGTCAC